CGGAGATGGTTCTAACATGATGGATAAAGGGGGAAACCCTATACAAGCATCTCCTCTGGCAGGTGTTATGCATAAAACCTTAAGCACAAAAGCAATAATTACTGAAATCTGGAAGTTTACTGACTGAGCCCAACTGTTTCCGAATATAATTTCAACTGTTATAAATCAGTGAATCGTTGTAAAATGGTTGTAAATTTTGTATCACTATAAAAAGTTTACAACCATCCATCTCTCCTGGAGACACCTGTAATCCATTCTGCCGTGGCCACTTGTGGAAAGCTCAGGTGTAGAGATCTGTAAAAGGCAGAATGGGATGAAATGGCAAAATGTGTATTACACATAATATCTGATGATTCCCGAGTTTTCTAGGAAGACCTATGACGTAGTAGAACTCAAGATGAACCTTAGGGGTGTGTGGAGTTTGAATAGATGGGGAAAAAAAGAGAGCACTTCCAAGTAAACCAGCCAGAATTAGCAACATCCTGAGGGAACTAGAAATGCAAGACCGAGTTCTGTTAACAATGGATGAGCAACCTTCAGATACATAATCTGGAAGGATTGGAAGGATGCCAGAGTAGACTACACATTGGAAATTTGTGATGGTAAATACTAGCAGAAAATTTCTAATTTAAAATTGTGTGTAAAGTATAGAGAACCTTGAAAGTCAGGATGGATATGATTGCCATTTTGTGAACAGGGCTCTCAGATCTGTTAATGGCAGCATAGAAGACCGATCTGGACACACTCAGAATAGACCAGGGAATGACCTGAGACGGGGATACCAGTTAGGAGCCTGCACAGTAGGTGGTGAGGGGCTGGACCAGGAGAAAAGAAGTAGACAGAGGAAGGGATGAATGGAAGACACATTTCAGAGGATATATTTATCCATGGGATTTCATGAGATTCAACACATTGAAGAGAATGGATGGCCCAGGCTTTGAGGCCAAATGACTGAGAAAATAGTGGCGTGATTTTAAGACACAACGTTGGGAAAGGGACTTAGTTGGGAGGCGGAGAATAAATTTTGGTGGAGATGTATCCCGGAAGCAGTAAGAAGTGAACAACAAAAGCACAGGTGAAAGGTCAGGGATGGACAACAAGTATAATCACCACCATCTTGCGGTGGAGGAAGCCATGAGGGGATGTGAGCTCTCCAAAAAGAGTGACAGAAAGACATAAACTCAGAATGCTGAAGACTGAGCTTTGGGAAGATTGCAAACTCATGCTTAACACAAGAAAAGAGGAAAAAAGTTACGGTGACAGGAGGCATGCAAAGGAAAATAGAAAAACAAGAATGGTATCTGCCATCAAAGGAAGAGAAAGCCTCAAGAAGGAAGGGACAGTCATGTTTAATGGCATGCCTCCCGCATCAGACTGTGTGTGTTCAAATCCTGCCTCTGTCACTTATGGGCGTCATGTCATTTCAAAAGTTTTATTCTTTCTCTCAGTTTCATCATCTCTAAAATGGTGGTAAATCTACCTCTTAGGGATATTTTGAGAATTAAGAGAGAAAATGTATGCAGAATACTTAACATAGCATCTGGTACAGACCAGAAGTTAATAGATGTAACTGATGGTTTTAAGGGGAAAATGGTGGGGCAGGAGAGCAGAAAGAACTGCAAGAGGTTGAAGAAGGACTAATCATGGAGAAAAAGAGATTGTTTGGCCAAAAATGGAGAGAGATCACGGAATGTTCTTAGAAGAGGCACGGGGTAAAGGCTTTGCTTAAATTTGCTCTGTACTGACCAAGGGTTATTATTGTTATTGTCATCCTGGAAGCCTAGTGAATTAGGGTTGGGCCATCTTCTCACTTATATAAGGCCATTTTAATCTTTAGAATAGAAATAATTGTACAACTAAAAGTTCTAAATATATACAAATAGTCTAAAGTGCAACCTCTTTGAGGGAACAGTATGGCACTGCCTCAAAAAATCAAAAATAGAATTACCATCTGATCCAGCAATCCCACTTCTGGGTATATGTCCAAAAGAATTGAAAGCAGGTACTTGAAAAGATATTTGTATACCCAGTTCGTAGCAGCATTATTCACAGTAGCCAAGAGACAAAAACAAGAAACAAAAAACAAAAAACAAAAAAACAAAAAAACAAACACCAACAAAACAAAACAAAACAAAACAAAACCCAAACGCTCATCAACAGAGGACTGTGGTATATATAGCCAATGGAATATTATTCAGCTTTAAAAAGGGAAAATCAGACACACTCTTACAACATGGGTGAAACTTAAGGTCATTATATTAAGTGAAATAAGCCAGATACAAAAGAGGAAATACTGTATGACTCTACTTACATGAAATACCTAGAGTAGTTAAATTCATAAATACAGAAAGCAGAATGCCAGGAGCTCAGGGGAGTGGGGAAATGGAAACATATTGTTGAATGGGTACAGAGTTTCAGTTTGGAACCATGAAAAAGTCTAGAGATGGTTGGTGGTGATGGGGGCACAACAAGAAGAATGCATTTAATGCCTCTGAACCATATACTTAAAAGTGGTTACAGTGATAAATTTCGTATATTTAATGACAATTTTATATATATGTACGTACATATATATATATATATATATATATATATATATAAAATATACATATATATGTGTGTGTGTGTATATGTATATAAACATTTCCAGACAATAGGAGCAAAAAAAGATTGGTAAGTTACCAGAACAATACATTCTTAATGGTTATTTTTAAATTATGAAATACTTCATACATAGAAAATAAAATGCATGGGAGAACCTGGGTGGCTCTGTCAGTTAAGTGTCTGACTCTTGATTTTGGCTCAGGTTATGATCTCAAGGTCATGGGATCGAGCCCTGCATCAAGCTCTGTGCTTAGGACAGAGTCTTCTTGAGATTCTCTATCTTCCTCTCCCTCTGCCCCTCCCTCCACTTGCTCTCTAAATAAATAAATAGCATATACATGTAATCCTAAATGGTATTTTTTCCTTTCCATCTAGCATTGCTAGATTCACCCATGGTGGTGTCTGTGGCCTACTCAATGAGAACTCTGTTGTCTTCTCAATGAAGCTTTTATCATTACGTGCTGACCCTCCTTATTCCTAATAGTGCATTTTGCCTTGAAGTTTCTTTTCTGGTATTAACATGTCTTCATTGATTTTCTTTTGGTTTTATTTGCCTATTTATCCATATATCCTTTCACCTTCAGTCTTTCTGTGTCATTAGGTCTTTTCAGATGTGCCCATAGTTGGATTTTTTATAAATCTGGTCTGATAATTTTTGCATTTTGATGGCCACACTTGCTTTTTATTATGATTACTTGATATACACGGATTACTTTCTATCATGTTGTTCATCCACTTTTTCTATGTTCTCCCCACTCTTCTCTTGCCTTCGTGTGGGTTGATCAAGTTGTTTTGTTCTTGTTGTTAATTCTTTTTCTCCTTTCTTCTGGTTTGGTGGTTATATAATTTCTGTAGTAATTACTCTTGAAATTTACTATGCATACTTGACTTTTTACAAAGTCTGAAATCAATCAACATCTTTGAACTCTTCTTCCTTCAAACAAAAGAACATTCAGTAAATGAGAATGGAGTACCACCAGGCTGGGGCCACTTTACCACCAACCTGAGGCCACTTTAGTTTCTTTTCTTGGGATTTCCCAACAGGGTCAGTGGTATAAATCTAAAACTTAGACTTAGTTCATAACAAACAGACTTGTGGGAAACTATGTTGCCCCCAACAAGAAGCAGCAATGAAGACACATTTCTGGGTTGTTTCCCCCTGCCTGTAGGCACATATTTTTATTGCTTACATTGAGGGTGTGTTATCTTCTAGGGTCTCAGTCCAGCAGTTCATTTTTTCACTTTTGTGGGCCTACTACCTGGTCTGTTTTCAACTTGTCTGATCATTTGTAGGAAAGGTTCATCTTCCTGGCATCTACATTTGCCCCTTACTTTCTGCATTTGCTTACCAGTCTCCTTTCTGCTTTACTCGCTTTGTTTGGAACTTAAGGATTTCTCTCACTTTTTTTCAAGTTCAGCAAGACAATCTAATCTGAAAGGTGTGTTTGCTGGGTTTTGTCTAACATGTAGGTGTGAAGATGGGGGCTTTTTGGATTATCTAGTTTCTTTTTCTCTACAAACATCAGGCAAAATCTTTTAATTTGCTGTTTGCATATTATCTATGGATTTTTATGTTTTTTTTTTTTCAATTTGTCCTGGAACCTTTTGAATGAAATGTACAAGTTTCCTCTTTTACAATTAAAAAGATAAATACATGCAGGTGTAAGGAGAGTTATTCACCAAATGGCTGTTTAGTGATTATTTTTTATTTGGAAATAACCTAATATCAAATAATAAAGGATTCACAGAGTAAATTTTGCTACAATTTATTCTTCCATAACAGTTGTGTGTGTGAGAGAGAAATGGAAGATGTTCATAACCCCGTTTTTATTTATACAAACACATATATATTTACACTGAAAAATTTCTGGAAGGAGATATCCAATATTTGGGGGTGACATCACTAAGGGATATTTTTGTTTACCTCTTGCTGATGTCTACTTTTTTTTTTTTTTTTTAAGATTTATTTATTTGACAGAGATCACAAGTAGGCAGAGAGGCAGGCAGGGTGGGTGGGGGAAGCAGGCTCCCTGCTGAGCAGACACAGCCCGATGCAGGGCTGATCCCAGGACTCTGGGATCATGACCTGAGCTGAAGGCAAAGGCTTTAACCCACTGAGCCACCCAGGCGTCCCTGATGTCTACTTTTTAAATGAAGAAGTATTGTGTGGTTTTTATGTAAAGGGCATAATTATTTACAAGAACGAAAAGCAACGATTAGTAACCCATTCGCTAACTTCAGAGTTGTGTAACAACAGAATGCATACACCTTATGAGGGACTGAACTCTCCCCAGTATGGAGAGTATCAAACAGAGGCAGGGTGGTATCCTGCCCAGGATCCCGCTCATTTTATGATTCAAAGATTCCCAATTTATTTATTTATCTTTCCCCTGCCATCAGGTCGACCAAGCAATGCCTCAGACAGATAAGCAAATATGCATCCCCCCGGAGCTGCCGGAATTGCTGAAGCAATTCACCAAAGCCGCCATTCGGACCCAGCCGCAGGATCTCATCCAGTGGGCTGCAGAGTACGTACTCGTTCTCACCTCAGCCTGGGTGCACCTTGCGGGTGGAGGCGGGGCGTGGAGGAGGGGAGGTCCTCGGGAAAACTGAGGAGGTTGTCATGGCTGCAGCATGGGAGTCGGGACCGATTAGCATCATCTTATGATGTTCAGCTCTCGAATTGCTCTGGTGCTTTAAAATCCACCCATAAATACATCACGCTGGGTGAGGGTGGGTCGCCATCCCCTAAGCGACCCAGACTGAGCAATAGGACCCCAGAGCAATCGGCCGAGGTTCCTGAGGCGATCAGCAGGAGTTAGAGTCCCACAACCCGGCCGCACACGCACCTGGTGCGGTCCCTGCGCCCCCCTCCCCCGTCCCAGGGGAAACAGGAGCGGGGGGTGGGGGGCCGAGGGTAGGAAGGGGAGGTAGGGTGGGGAGGGGAGGGGGGGGTGGGCTCTTGCAGCCCCGCCCGCCTTCCCTGGTCCGAAGTAGGGCCGGGTCTCGCGTCTCACCACTAGAGAGCAGCAGCGCGCCTCGGGGAGCCGGGCGCTGAGGCCGCCGGCTGGGCGGTGCGCGCTTGGTCCCGGCTGGTTCACCTCTGCGCTTGCGCCTTGTTGAGGACCACCCCCCACCCACCCACCCACCCCACTTCTTCCACTGCGGATCAAGCTCATTCTTGCCTCAACCAGAGACATTCTGTGGCTTGTCTTTGGGCAAATTCTATTTCGTGTTTGTTTGAACTCGTCTGTTCCTTCAACATGCACATGTCCACACAGTGCACATTGCACTCTGGAGAGAGAAGGCAGCCCTGTGTGCCGAGGGCAGGAAAAGCGGGCCAGGCTGGAAACACTGCGCCTCAAACTCAGGTGCCCCCTTTCAGGGGCGACCTCCAGAGGCTGTTCCGTGGAAAGAGCTTGCACAGCGAGAGCTAGCTGTTGGCCTGGATTGAAACAGCTTTGCACGGAAAGCCTCTCATTTATGAAATGGCTTCTTAGGGACACATGCCCGCTTGACACTGGGGATCCGGGACTTGAGGCAGGGGTCGAGAACTAACCATACCTCCTGGATCATTTTCAGGCTCGTTTTACTGCTTAATGATGACCTCCTTAGTAGCGTTTCAGCGGGAGAAGGGGAGTCAGAGATGCCTAGCTGGTGGGGTGAGGGGGGGGCCGGAAGAAGGGAGAATGTCCTCAGCATGAGGTGTATTGAGCAGGTGGGAGGAAGGTGTGGACACCTTGAGAAAGCACACAACGTTATCCAAGATCAGCCTCACAGTCACAGCCAATGCACTCCTGGTACTGGGTTGAGTCAGGATGAAGCTTTTACAGATGGAGGTAAAATAAGCCAGTGGTGCTCGTAAATAAGGGACATAATGGGGTTGCTTTGCTAGTAATGAACACTGTTTAGTTTTCCATTCTAAATTTTATATATTATCTCCAGGATTGTGTTTTGGCATCAGAAGACTAGTTTCTTTTGGCATACTCAGACAGACTTTGTTTTATACCACACAATAGTTTAAACCCCCATTTTATTATGCTGCTGCTTTATAACAAGGAAAATGACATTTCTTGCCATTGTCCCTGACATTTATGGGAGAAAACATTCCACTGTTGTAGCCTGCTTGCTCCCTTTTTGTATCATGTGCTATAAATTTTTTAGATATCCACGAAGAATCAGTTTGTAGTTTAGCTACAATGAGAAAGGAAAGCATGACCTCAGAGCACTCTCCATCTATTAATACATGAAAAGCATTTATCAGATGGTTTTATGAGACTCACAAGCCCGTAGCACTTTGTAGAAACTCCACGAAGTATTCCCAAGACAAAATATGTGCTTAATTCATCACAAGCAAGAATTTCCCTGCATATGTGCTGTCTGAGAAGAAAACACCTCCCAGACATCTGCAGGATATAAACCTGTCTTGTGGTATGTGTGACCACATGGATTTGTAATGTATGTGAACAACCGTGGAATTGTTCATTGCAAATGAAGCTAAATAACCCACAGAGTACTAAATTCCTGACTTCAGCCTCATTTCCACATTCTCTCACTAACTTGGTTAAAAAGTCCAAAGACATTGCTGCTGAGTATCACTCTCTATTTGGGCAGTCACTTCTGCCACATGATGTGCTGTGTTTCTATCTCTCCTGTTTATGCTGCCCAAGTTATTAGAGCCCACTCTTGTTGTCACCCTGAACCCACACGTATCTCAACACTGATCTGTCTGTGGAAGTTGCTCGTGCACATGGTAAACATCCAGACAGTATTTCTTCTGCCCTCCCTGCTGCTGACCTCCAAGGCAGTACCTGGAAGGTCTTATTTTGGTCCTTGTAGATCTACATTGCTCTGGAACCTAGAGATAGGTAGTGGTGCATCCCTATCATTGTATGGCTTGACCTTAGTATGGGCTTCTACAAAATTCCCTCTGTTATTCTTTTTATACTACTGGATCTGGAGAAAAATAATGAGACTATTTATTCATGAAAACTAAAGCAGAGAGGGGCAGAGGTGCATGATCCTGGGATTCTTAATAACAAGGCTTTTGATGGAGACAGACGCTTCTAGATAGCATCGGTGACCCATGTGTCAACTCCTATGTCCATTCCCTGCTACAGGCAGCCCTTTTTATCTTTTTTAAAAAAGATTTATTTGAGAGAGATAGAACAAGGGAAAGGACAGAGGGAGAGGATATTCGAGCAGACTCCTGCCAACTGAGGAGCCCAACATGGGGCTCCATCCTAAGAGTCATGAGATTAGGACCTGAGCTAAATCCAAGAGAGTCAGATGCTTAACCAACAGAGCCCCAGGCGCCCCAGCTCTTTTGTCTAATATCAATCCTGAAACCGGACTCAGTATTTTTTCCATGTTGCACCCAGAGTCCACTCCACAAAATGTCAGTGAGTGGGCAGATTTTATTAAAATTTTTGAGGAAAGATAGAGAAGAGTTTTACTTCACACACCCCCACATAAGATCGTCTCACCCCTTCCGTGGCCTGTCTTCTCACCTGAGCCTCCCTCAGAGTGCCCTGCCAACCTTCTTTCTCTCTCCCCTTAAAGCCCCTTAAAGCCTTACGATCTCCAGCTGGAAACGTTTCTTTGCTCATCCCAAGAGCACCTCCTTCTCCTCCCCTTTCTTGTACAAGTCACTCTAGTGCTTTTCCAACTTTTTTCCAAGATTGCCTATTACATATTACCAGGATTACACATTACCCACTACCTAGATTACCCACTACCGAGACTACCTATTACATATTATATATTACATATTACTCACTACCTAATAATCAACTTTAAGTATGTCAATAGCCATGTTACTGGAAATAAAGATTTTATGATTAAAAAACAGTTCCTCTAGATACCAGGAATCTTCTTCCCTAAAAGAGAGTGGGGATTTAAAATAACAATGATCTTTTTCTCCCTCCTATTATATATATACTATATCATATATAATGTATATAATATATAATCTATGTATATGTGTATGTACATGTACATATGTATGTACATATTATATATTATATAATATATGTGTTCTAGAAAATAGAGGAGAAACACAAATTACTGTTATATGATGTATTACATATGTATTATGTGTATATATGTCATATATAATATATTTTTTTCTATATAATGTATAATACATATATATTCTGTATCTCCTATTATATATATGTATATGTGTGTATGTAATGTGTGGTTGCACACATACGCATGTGTATATTAAACACTTAGGAGGGATGACTGGGAAAGAAAATCCCAGACACTATATGCTTCAGGGAATTCCATACCAAAATTTTTATTGATTATTTGTCATCCTTAGACACAAACAAATCTTTTTACTCACTAAGTGTTCTTTATACCTGGAATGGCAGGTAACACATTCGGGTTTTTCCTGTACATAAACGATCTAAACAAAGTGTCTGGCATATAGGAGTCCCTAACAAATGTTCTTTCCTCCATCCCCTGCCCTCAAGAAAAAGGAGAGGGGGTTCTCCAAGCAGCCAGAGGCCACTGGAATGTAGGATTTTCTCCCCACCCCCTAACTTTTTTTCTTGTAGTTATTTCGGGGCTATGTCCCGTGGAGAGATTCCTCCAGTGAGAGAGCGGTCTGAGCGAGTGGCTTTGTCTAACTGGGCAGAGCTTACACCTGAGCTGTTAAAGATCCTGCATTCTCGGGTAAGGGCTGTACCAGAGCATCAAGGGGGAAGATGGGGTAATACCAAGGCCAGGTGGGCACAGACAAAAGCCCACCATCCCCTGGCAGCCAGCTGGCCAATCAATATCATAAATCCACTAAACCATTCATTGAAAGCAAATCTTCTCTTAGGGATAGGAATGATATTGAAATAGGCTACAAGCTGAGTTATTAGTGGGGTCATCCCAGATTTCCCTGAAGCTGGCAGAATGTCCAGGGAATCAACTCAATAATAGTCCTTCTCTCCAGAAAAGCGCAGGTCCACAGTCCCTTGACTGTGACACTCTTATTGATCAAGAACATAATATGATGGCAATCAGTTTGGAGAGGGGCATAATTTAGTTTCCCAGCTATCCCAGATGCAGACATAGCCTAGCTTTTAGGGAAAATCCTTGCTCTCTTCAAAGCCATATCATGCTGGGAGCTTTCCAGTGAATGGATGAGGAAGGTCTGACTTCAGAGAGTTGTAGTTTGGCCAGTTCCCAGGATATGGTTTAGCACCACTATACTCTGCTTTAAAATCCGGGACAGAGAGGTTTGGGGTGTTTGAGGACTGACAGCCAACTACCTTGCTCCAAGAGGCTTAGCATTTCACTAGAATCAGAGGGCCGGGGAAGGTGTATGCTTCACTAGGGCATCTGTAGCCTTATCACACTGTTGGCCAACGACTGGCCATTTGTTCCCTTTCTCCTCTTAACCACCAAGCACCTTATGCAACAGACATGGCAGAGATCAGAGATCTGACATACCTGGGACCAAGCAATATTAGGCATCCAGACCACAGACCCCTTATTAGTCTTGGAAAAGCATGAGGGTTACATGTGAAGTCTAGTGCAAAGAACTCCACAGAACCTAGAAGCAAGAGACTTAACATCTAATTCTAATTTCATTACTGATTACTGGTCTCAGACAAGTCCTCAGCTCCTGGGTTTCATTTGCAGGCTGCCCTATCTCCCTTATAGGCACAACCTAGGGATAAAACAGCAGACAATAAAAGTATCAGAAAAAAATTAAAATGTAAAATAAAGATATTATTTCCCTATAATCTTGACATTGAGAGTTAAAATGATTGCATCATACTTCAGCACGCTTAACACTACACTGAATATTTCTCTACCCTTACAAAGAGGATGGCCAGAGTCCTGCCCTGATCCCACACCCCGCCATCAAACCCCTTGCTGGGTGCTGGGAAAATGTGGGCCTTGCTGGGCAGTGTCTCTTGGGGCATTCTCTCATCCTGTCCCTCCCTGTCCGTCGTCTGTCCCCTGACCTGCAGGTTGCTGGAAGACTGATTATCCACGCAGATGAGCTGGCCCAGATGTGGAAGGTGCTGAGTCTCCCAACAGACCTGTTTAATAGTGTGATGAATGTGGGCCGTTTCACGGAGGAGATCGAGTGGCTGAAGTTTTTAGCTCTTGCTTGCAGTTCTCTTGGAGTCGTAAGTGAGCTTTACTGCTTTCTGTTCCTTACCGGAAAAGCTCTGTCTGGGCCTGGAAGAGTAGTACCTCTGCACACACAGTCCGTCTTCTGGGCCGAGGACAAGCGTACCTGTCTTGTCTACTTCCCTTCCTCTCTGAATTAGGTCATTCCTCTGCTCCTCAGCCAGAAGCAGGGGGGAGGGGGGGGGGGGAAACCTGTCATCAGACCCTGGGGAGAGTTTACTAGAATGTGGTTTCTGGATTATTTATGAATTTCAATCATTGCCTTCAGATTTATTTCCGTCACCGCTCCACTCATATTCCTAAAGATAACCAATAGCCAGCTGTAAGAGATTCGCTTCTACTTGGGTTCCAGACACCTAGAAGATACACCAACGGGGCCTTTGAAAAAGAGATGCAGGCTTTCAGAAAACTACTATTTGATAAGCATAATTGGATACAAAAATCAGAGCTGAGAGATCAGGAAAGGAGAAATGAGGCTATTTCCAGACTTACCGTTACAACATCATCACGGATGTAGGATGCTCATACAAATTCATGCTTTTTCTAAGTTTGACTTGATTTACAATTGGAAAAGGAATGTTTCTGTTTTAAAGAAAAAGATATTGCACCCAGTTCATACATTTATTTAAAAGCTTTGGGTGTCATCTTATATATGGACTCACTCTTATTAAACACCTTTATAATAGCTTAAATGAAAATGAATCAGAAACATGGGTTTTTTAAAAAAATCCTGGAATATGTGCAAGTTTGAAAGTTAATGAGAAAATTATTGACTCTGCCAAAAGCAAATGGTACATAAAGGTAGTCTGAATCAGTCAACAACTCTAACTACCATCTCTTTCTTTCATCTTGAATACACATGGGATGCATATCTGACATTTTTGTTTGACAAAAATTATGAGAAATATTAGCAAGTTCAACTTTTCCTATAGGCTTCCCCTGCAACTTTCATTATAATTGTTTCTTTAGAGACAAGGAGAGGTGAATCCATTCATAGTTTTTTTAATCTTCATTGTCCTGTATAGTAATACAATATAATGAATAAATTGCTTTCCTCCAAAGAGGAGAGGAAAAATGCAGCCAGTGCAGAAGTTTTGCCTATCAGCACTATCACACTTCTGTGAAAAAAGCCCCAAAGGTTGGGGGGAAATCCAGGAGGACAAATTAAAAATAGACACATTTTATTAAATTCCCATAGGGTCACAAATTTACTCACACTACATGCAGAGATATCTGGGGTAGGGAGGAGGGAACATACTTTATTTTATCTGTAGTTAATTCTGAGCTTCCTGATCTACCCCACCCACAGAGGGTTGAGTAGGAAAGTAAGTAGATTCAATTCAATCCAGGAATTTTAGTCCGATGCAGTGCCAGAAACAGCTTTGACGTAAATGCCCAGTCTCTCAGATTTTTCCATACCACTCCACTCTTCAAGATGGCAGCAGAGTGTGTAATAGGGAAATGGTGACTCCAGGACCACACAACCACCAAGCAAAGGATTTCCTACATGTCTTGGTCCTTGGAAATCCATGGGAATAAATACTGTCTGTGTGGTCTCAGGGGCTTGCTGCCTAAGTCCTAGGTCTCTTCTCTCTCACAGCGCAGTGCTCTCTCCCAACCCCCCATCCCTGGCTCATCATCATTCTGGTGGCTTCTGAGGGCTTCTCTGAACCCTTTCAGGTTGCCTTCATCGGCTCCCTGGCTCCGGTGGTCTACTTCACAGACCCTCACCACCTTGTGAGATGTATGAGTCCTCTCCCTCCACATGCCTTGCCGTAACGAAAAGTGACTACAGAATATTAAATTCCACTCCTCCCTCTGCTGAGTTCACAGTGCAGCTGCTAGGTTTACTTTGGTATGTCTGCCTCCCACACTGGGGATGGGGAAACCATGAGGTGAATTGTATCTTTTACCTCCCTTCCAAAACAGGGAGAATGGATTAGATGTTCCAAAAGTTCCTTCATCTCTGACAGACTATGATTCTAGTCTGCCTTCTCTATTTTTACTGAGACACCCTCAGGTCTGACTTTGGATAACAGTGAGGTCATCAGGTATCTAACTGTGCCCGTCATCACCCCAACATCACAGAACACCTCAAGGTGAAGTCAGCCTGAAGGGCTAGTCTGTAAATAAAGGGTGCCTCGTGAATCCAGGAACCAGGCCCATTATACCCATCTGTTTCATATTGGACTATTGCTGGGAACTTAAATGTCAGGTGTGAGGATGTCAATATCTGGTAGAGGCTTTGCAGTCTAGTTAAACCATATATCCTTAGGGTGCCTGGGTGGCTCAGTCAGTTAAGCATCTGCCTTTGGCTTGGATGGTGATCTCAGGGTCCTGGGATGGAGCCCTGCTCTGGGCTCTCTGCTCAGCATGGAGTCTGCTTCTCCCTCTCCCTCTGCCCCTCCCCCTGCTCATGCTCTCTTTCTCTCTCTCTCAAATAAATGAATAAAATCTCTCTATATATACATATACCCTTAGAGGCAAGCGCAGGAATTTCTCCTTCCTTTGCCAATTCACCAGTCAGACATGATCTCGGTGCCACTTAGAAAAACCAGTTCCTTCCTTTCGTCTAATGACAGGGACTTTCTTGAGCTCTCCCAATCTACACCCAGGATTCAAAAGACTGTGGCATGCAGACCTATATTTCTCTTCCCTCTCAGCACTCCTTCCTCTAGACTAGCCTCTATTCCCTCCTGTTCCACGGGGACTGATTGTAGAAAAGGAAGACTGTGTTCATAGGAAGGAAGGACATGTTTTGTTAGCAAATAATTCACTTTCTGAGCCTTTCACCTCTGGGTTTGTGACTCTCAGAAGATGCTTTAAGGCTCCCTTTATCAAGCAGATCCCCATCTGATCAAAAAATCTTGTGCAACAAAATGCAGGTCCTTGTTACTTTAGATTTATTTAAGTTCTAGTCCAGAGAATTCTTTATCCATTCATCCATGTATGAAATATTTTAAAATGTTAAGAGGACAATAAAACTTAAAGGTTTGTGTTTGATTAACAAAAGATACTGTTTGGGGTAGAAAGCACCTGTATTAGCTTGTAGGGCTGATGGAACAAAGTACCCCAGACTGGGTGGCTTAAACGCTAGAAATTTATTTTCTCACAGTCCTAGAGGCTGGAAGTCTGAGATTAAGGTGTCTGAGGCCATTGTCCTTGGCTTGTAAATGGCCATTGTCTCCCTGTTTCTCTCTTTCTCTCTTTTTCTTTCTTTCTTTTCTTGATTTATTTATTTGAGAGAGAGAATGAGTGAGTGGAGAGAGGGAGAGGGGAAGAGAAAAACTTCAGTAGACTCCTTGCTGAGCTCTGAGCCTGATGTGTGGGGGGTTAAGATTAAGACCCTGAGATCATGACCTGAGCAGAAACCAAGAGTCAGACACTTAACGGGCTGAGCCACCCAGGCGCCCTTACCTGCTGCTTCATAGAGCTGTCCCTCTGGGTATGTATGTATCTGGCATGTCTATGTCCTAATCTCCTCTTATGAGGATAGCAATCTTATTTTAAGGCCCACTCCACAGACTTGATTTTAACTTAATTACCTCTAAAATGGCCCTTTCTCCAAATAGAATCACGTTCTGAGGTCCGGGGTTAGGGCTTCAGCATATGAATTTGGGGTGAACACAATTCAGTCCTTAACAGCACCCCAATATGGATGAGCCTGCAGGAAGAGGACAGCAGAACAAAGGCAGGAGGGGATTTTTTTTAAGAAAGGGAAGCAGAGAGGATGAGCTATGAGTGGAGGTGATGGAGTTCATTGCACATAAGCTTGCAAATTTACCCAAACCCCCCGTCATGCTGACCTCGCATCCCGCACATGCCCCACCATCTCACTGACAGCCTCTTCCCCAGCCTCTGGTCTGCCTGCCACTCACCCTCCTTCCTGGAAGCGTGTGGCACACTGCCACAGATGGCACTTCACAGCAGTTTCCAGGGCAGGGCTCCCAAGGGCAGGGGAGGGTCAATGAAAGGGGCCTGCTGCAAACCCCAAATCTCTTTGACATCATGCATTTTACTATTTTAAAATTCGTGTACCCTGATGATTACAGTTCATAAGGTAGCAATGTTTATCAACATAAAGAAACAAAATGTAAATATTAAATCAATTAAAGTTAATAATTAATGCAAACAATGTTTAAATCACTTGTCATCAGGTAAAACTGTCTTTCTAGGAAGATGGCCAAGTTGATTCAGCGCCCTCATACACTTCCTGATACCTCCCCGCTTACACCCCTGGGTAACACACACAAGTTAAAGAGGCATCCTGTAGACATCTGCTATATTCAGAGGGAGGAAGGGAACGGAGGAGCCCGCAGCAGCTGCAGAGGAAGGGCAATGCCAGCCAGCCTTCTGGGGAGATAACAGCAGATGCCTTTTCCTTCTCCCAGGCACACCCAGTTCACCACTCGGGACTCACTGTTCACTGGTCCCTGGAAGGTGTTTAAGGACAATCTACACATCATCTGTTTTGGTGAACTGCCCTGGTAGACGCGCTGACCTATGTTTGCTAATTCAGAACTAAACAATCCTTTCTTCAAATCATTTCTTTCCTTTACCCCTGTAATTTCCCAACTCATTCACTTGAGAAATTTATGTAAAGAATAGGTTTATGGAAAGACACAGGTGAGTAAAAGCTAATTCTGAACATGACCTTTTGATGTTGGAAGTTTCATTGGTTTGCTCCTATGCTGTAAACCTTTGGGCATCCATCATCTCTTAGTTCTTCCCCGGCAACAACGAGGTGAATGTCATGTCATATAAAATACAAGGTGTAAAACAAAAAACAACCAAGGTGTTCTGATTAGATGGATCTACATGTTTTAGAAGAACTGGTTTTGATGTTCAGTGTCACTTTTCCTGTATCTGGGACTCCTGTCTTCCCAGGGACTGACCCTTCTCCTCCTCCCTTCCCCCCCACTGTGGCATTGCTCCAAGTCCCACAGGAGCATATGAGCTAGACTAATTACCTCAACTCTTCAGACGTAAGATTGGAGAGCAATAAGAATAAGAAATAATTTTAATTTTTTAGAATGTAAAATCAAATTCTCCTTTAGGGAGGTTATTTTGATGAAAATAATAAATATCTTAAAATATTCAGTTCATAAACTTAATTCCTTGAGAGTATTCCTCCAACAAAGAAAGGAAAGGAAAAAAAGAAAGAAACCCAGTACATCAATGTTTTTTAGATGGAATTCAATGATGTTTGGGTGTAAAAAGTTCAAGCTTTCCGGAATATTACATTATTCTCGCTTCATTTTATGAGAGCAATATTTTTATTTGTTTTCTTTTATCTAAACTGATCTTGCGGGGCGGGGGGGAATGCCTGGGTGGCTCAGTCTGTTAAGCCTCTGCCTTCCATTCAGGTCATGATTGAATGAGCCCCACCTGTGCTCCCTGCTCAGAGGGGAGTCCTTTTCTCCCTCTCCCTCTACCACCCCTCCCTACCACTCCTGCGTGTGGGTGCACACACACTCTTTCTTCCTCTCAGTTAAATAAATAAAACCTTTAAACTGATCTTAGTTTGAAATAATGACTTTCTCATTTTATCTTATGCCTTTATAGACCATTGCCAAAACTCTCAAGATAGTGTGCGAGGTGCTATCATCTGACCATGACAGTGGACCTCCCCGGATCCCATTTAGCACCTTCCAGTTTCTCTACACATATATTGCTGAGGTGGACGGGGAGATCTCTGCCTCACATGTCAGCCGAATGCTGAACTACATTGAACAGGAAGTGTAAGTAAACTTTTACCCATCAGAGGGGAAAGAATATGGGGAAAACAAACCTAGCAGGCCATGATATAGCAAGGTTGCTATATTATACTGCTCTGGGCACAGAGAAATGTGATGAAGAAAAAGAACTCAGGACCCAAAAGAGAAAGGGAAAGGCCAGGGAAGAACGGTGTAGGACAGTGATTCCGGTGATGAGTTGGAAATGCTAGTTCTCAGGCTGCCACCTGAAAATACCCAGTCACAAACTCAGGGGCAGGACCCAGATGTCTGCATCTTAGCAGGCCCTTCAGGTGACTGACTCACGCTCAGGTTTTAGGTAGTAAGGTAAGATTGGGGGAGGAGGAGCAGGCTGCCAAGGTCAAAGAAAAAGACAGGCATTGAGGGCAGGATCCACAAAGAATTCATTTGGAAGGAGAGAGTTAATATACTGTCTTTCTTAAAACTGATTGTTCAATGAACTAACCCCAGATATATATTTTTCCCAAACAGAATTGGTCCTGATGGTTTAATCAAAGTCAATGACTTTACCCAAAACCCCAGGGTTCGGCTGGAGTAAAAGCACGGTTTTGGCCATTTTAAAGGAAGATAACAGAGTTGATTGTGCTTCAGAACGACTGAACCCCACGCACCACCGAATGTCAATTTTCTTGTACAACTGGTCCACACCAATAAACAATTAAGCAAACCTATGAACTCAAGAAATGTGTGGAATTAAGATGTAAAATTGTTGGAACAAAACACTTACATGAACAGAAGATGCGTATCCTTCCCACATGGACACTGAGAATGGCTAACCAAGCAGGGTAGAAAATGTGTCTCAAGTCAAAGCCAGGCTGTCAAGATTTTCACAGGTAGCATGTTAACCAGACACAGTTTGGATGTTTTGTGATTATGAAGGATCTTCTACGTAGTCAATCCACATTTTCACCAGTTTGGCTCTCCATTTGTTGGGATGGTGCTAGTCACTCACACACTCGCTAATATTTGTCAAGGTTCGCTAAGTGCAAGGAATAGGATGCCAGATAAATACAGGACACCCTGTTAAGTTTGAATTTTGAATAAGCGAATAGCTTTTCAGTATTGTTTTGTTTTGTTTTCATGCTAAATCTGGCAACCCCAGCTAGGAACTATGCTGGCTTCTGGACATACAAAAATGAATCATATCTGAATTCTGCCTTCAGTGAGCTCACCGTCTTACATGAACGCAAGACGTGAACTCAAATCACCTTTTATTTTTTTCACATGAGAGAGCACACATCGGGGGTGGAGAGGGACGGAGGGAGAGGGAAAGAGAGAATCTTAAGCAGGCTCCATGTGCAGCATAAAGCCTGACCTGAGGCTCAGCCTCACGACCTGAGCTTGCCCTTAAATGACTTAGCCACCAAAGCACCCCTGAACTCAAATCATTTTAATGCAAGTCACTCTGAGAGGTACCATTATGTGTTACAGAGATTGGTATTAAAGGGGCAATGTCCCCAGATTTTTCTGACACTATATACAGATGTAGGGGGACCTTCTTGGGAATTGCCCTGCATGAGGTTAAGACCTCTGACAAGGTCTCTGAAAGATTTCTCTTTCTTCCAGGAAGCAGATGAGATGAACAGTCTGTGGGGTTAATGTTCTTAAGGTCAGGTGTGCCAAGGTTGCTGGATTCCTTCTCTCTGCCATACTCTTCTCTCTTGAAAGTTGTTTTTTTTTTTTTTTTAAGTTGTTTTGGTATAAGAATCATGTTAGCATGCCTTTTCCTTTACATGTATCTTCCTTCTGAACTGGCGAGAAATTCATCTGTTAGTGTCTAAATCAGTAAAAGAATATTGTGAAGGGACATCACCATAGGTCCTTTAATTTGGCTTAGAGTGAAGTACTAAAAAGAGCTGAAACACATTCTACCCGCCATGGCTGTCCAGTTACACCTGCAGGGGGCGGGCAACAACCAATTCCCCCAGCTGTCTGCCATCTTAGCCAAAGCAGTCTATCATTTATATCCACCCTGGCACCTTCGGCTGTTGGAAAAGGCTGCAGCCCTGCAGGCAAATCCTGGCACTGGAATAAACTGGCGTTAAAGAATGAGTGAAACCCTTTAACCTGCCCCAGTCTCTCCATTTCTTTCACTATGATCAAAGAATTCCAATATGATCTTGTCGGGGGGTGGGGAGTGAAGGGGAACAGAGGGAATAGCCCCAATTTGAAAGGCTCTAAAACAAGGTCATGAACATAATAGAAGCAGAAGAGGCCTTTGTATGTTTGAGAAAACAGATTAAACTAGAAACCAAACCTCAGTAGCCCTGAGCATAATCCCTCAAGAGTGAGGCTAATGAAACCACAGCCATCAAAGTGAATAGAGGACCCAGATACAAAGTCACTGATGACACTGTGGCCCCCAGTTGAAACTCAGCATAACTGGTAGTGCCACCTCTTCGGCTTCTAACACATCACATGATGTCTGCTATCTTTCTGTCCTGCCTTGGCTGTCTGTGGCAAGGCTTCCTCTAAGCCATTGAGATTGATAAGCCCCAGATGCTCATTAGAAACAGATCCTAGAGCACAGCTGCCAAATTAGCCTACTTCAGAGGTCATCCCGAAGGTGAAAACCAGCTTTGGCCTCCACCTATGCCGTTCTATATTCACAGTATTATAAAGATGGTATTAATGATCGTCACCAGCATGTATGAAGCACTTACTATGTGCAGCCCCTATGCACAAGGCTCTCTATACATGGTCAAAAATAACCTTTACAACCTGACCTTGCAAAGTCAATGTTATTGTCCCCATTTTATAGATGAAGAAACAGCCTTAGAGAAATTAAGTTGTTCACTACCACTGGTAAGAGGAGTTTGAATCCAGGTCTGACTCCAAGCTTGGGCTGCCTTGTTTGCTCAGTGTGCTTTTTAGTAGTTTCTCCCCAGAAACAGCCTCTGAGATAAGGATTTAAGTGCAAGTAGTTTATACAGGAGGCAATACCAGGAAGAGTGGAAAGAGAGGAGGAAAAGTAAGATAATGATGGAAAGAAAACCAATAAACAGTGTGTTATCAAGCCACTTATCCATAAAGCCCAGTCATGCTGGAGGACTCTGGGAGAGAGGGTAAAACACATCTAAGAATTATCCCAACCAGAGGGATGAGGAAGCTCTTCATCATCGGCTAAGGGCTGCTTCCTTAACAAATTCCCATCTGTCATTGACTGAGGGTTGTTTCCAGAGGTATTAATTTACTGGCATTTCCAGCTTGCCCAGCTTAAGGTGTGAGCTTTCTCCTTTTGAGACAGAAGAAATGCTCTCAGGTTCAAAGTCATAGGTGTTTACCAAAACCAACCTTTGAACCTTTGAAGGCATTGGCATAGATCACCAACATCTTCTACAATGCCTTACAGAGAGTTTAATAAAACAAAATTTTAGCATTTTCATCACAATTGTTTCTTTCCTTGGGTCAGACTCAAGTCAGTAGGGGCTTCAGGGCAGTAAGTGACCTATGTGTGTTTAAATCACACTTAACCCTCAAACCTGACACATTGTCCCAAACCAGCAGTTTCTTTCCCATGATGAGATCATTCCAAAGGGACTTTCTTTATCCTTGCTGCTAATAGACCCTTGTCAGATCCATCCCATTGGCCATCCTATCATGACCATTAAGAAATATTTGAATCCTAGGGGCGCCTGGGTGGCTCAGTGGGTTAAAGCCTCTGCCTTCGGCTCGGGTCATGGTCCCAGGGTCCTGGGATCGAGCCCCGCATCGGGCTCTCTGCTCAGCGGGGAGCCTGCTTCCTCCTCTCTCTCTGCCTGTCTCTCTACCTACTTGTGATCTCTGTCTGTCAAATGAATAAATAAAAAAAAAATCTTTAAAAAAAAAAAAAAAAGAAATATTTGAATCCTAGCATGACCTCAGTTAAGCTGTCAGTCTGAGACCCCTGAAAGATATGGTTTATATTTTTCCTTTAAAAAGAAAAAACATTCAGGAAGAAATAAAATCAAGATTTTATAAAGATAAAGAAGTGGGGGGCGCCTGGGTAGCTCAGCGGGTTAAAGCCTCTGCCTTCGGCTCAGGTCATGATCCCAGGGTCCTGGGATCGAGCCCCGCATCCGGCTCTCTGCTCAGCAGGGAGCCTGCTTCCTCCTCTCTCTCTGCCTGCCTCTCTGCCTGTTTGTGATCTCTGTCTGTCAAATAAATAAATAAAATCTTTAAAAAAAAAAAGATAAAGAAGTGGGCTCTTTCTTTCCTAAATTAAACTATTTTGATTAAAGTGAAGACTACAGATACACTTAAAGCTTCATTGGGAAATGCAAAGATTATGGCTTCATTGGGAAATGCAAAGATTATGGCTCAATTCCATGTTCTCTGTTCTTCATGCCCCCTCTCTCCTTGATATTGTTCAATCGTGTAGTTTCTCTAATTATCCTTAGTTAACTGTATATGTATATATATATATATATATATATATATACATATATATGAAATGAGCACATTAGCATTTTTCTGGGGAAAAATAGAACGCTTTTAGCAAATCCTCAAAATTGTATATGATCAAAAAAGGTTAAGAACCCTTGGATTAGAAATAATTCCAGAAGGCACAGAATGGCTTGAGGAAAAGCAACAGGGCAGCCTCAAATCTTCGTAAGCAGAACTGAGTTCATTCTTCCAATATTTAATTTATAATCCAGTCCACAGCTTCTTTCATTTTGAATCTTATATCATGGCTATATATCTTAATTGTGTTTTTACATTTTCATATACTTTGCAATTTTGGTTGTTTTCTATAAACTGGAGCTTGGTTAACAGGAATAGAGTCTTTCATACTTCAGAAGTGAACCAATGGGAAAAGTCATTGGCCCAATACTCTAAATTATGAAACACTGCCTAGACCAAGCAAAGTCACTAACCATGACACTAGAGGGACCTAAAGCTCCAATCAGGCTCAGAGGGCTGAGTCCTGAATAATCCTAATAACAGACCATCAAAATATATAAAGCAAAACTGACAGAACTGAAGGGAGAAATAAACAGCCATATAATAATAGTTGGAGACATAAATACTACACTTTCAATAATGGATACAACAATTAGAAGATAAATACAGGACTTAAGTAACACAATAAACCAAGTAAATCTAACACATATACAGAACATTCTAACCAACAACAGCATATACATTCTTTTCAAATGCACACAGGACATTTTGCAGAAGAGACCAGATGTTAGACAATGAATTAGGTCTCAATAAATATGAAAAGATAGACTATCATCCAAAGTATCTTTTTCAACCACAACAGGATGAAGTTAGAAATCAAAAATAAAACTGGGAAGGTCACAAATTGGTGGAAATCAAATAACATACTCTTAACCAATGGACCAAAAAAGAAATTACAAGAGAGGAGGAGTCAAGATGTCGGAGAAGTAGAAGGCTGAGATGACATCAGGTAGTAGGAGATCAGCTAGATAGCTTATCAAACCATTCCGAACACCTAAAAATCCAACAGGAGATCGAAGAGAAGAAGAGCAGCAATTTTAGAAACAGAAAATCAACCATTTTCTGAAAGGTAGGACCGGTGGAGAAGTGAATCCAAAGCGACGGGAATATAGACCCCACAGGGAGGGGCCGGCTCCCGGCAAGCAGCGGAGCAACGGAGCACAAAATCAGAACTTGTAAAAGTCTGCTCCACTGAGGGACATCGCTCCACAGGCTAAACCAGGGTGAAGCCCACG